AAACGTTGTGTTCTCTTTCTTCTTTTTTTCAGCATGGAATAAACCTATTACTTGTTCCTTTGCAGCCTACGCATGCTGACGCAGCTACCCACCTGATGTATGATGTTAATTATATATCATTGGCCACACACCAAAGTACAGTACCTCAGAAGTAAGAAGTTGCAGCAATAGAATTAAAGAGGACCTTAAGAAAGATGAGAGTGAAATTTAACAAAGACAGCAGAACAAATATGCTCTGCTTTTACATCAGTGACAAACTGATGCCTTCAAGAAATGGATGGATAAGATCTTTGGATCACAAAGCTACTATGAACCCAAACAAACTCATTTTCAAACTGCATGTTAATCCTTGGTCTTGATATTTCTGATTACCTGGGGAATTCTTTTTCCTGTTTATTTTACTGTAGTGGTCTTTTACTGTGCCATGGTTGATTCTTTATTAGAAATAATACTTTTTTGATCTGTAGTGACCTGTTCCATTTCCTTATTAGGACTGTGGTATTCAGTTACATGTTATTTATAAGATGGACCACTGCTGGATGAATTACCTCATAAAGGCACCATGTAATATTGCAGTAATGCTGATACTCAGTTTGCAAATTCTTACTCTCATTCTCTACAGAACAGATATGTAGCGTATCAGACTTGAGTATAGGATAACCTATATCTAAATAAATTAATCTAAAATAAGTCTTCGGATGTCTTTATAGCAATTTGGATTCTGGCGATTTTCTAAATTAATGTAGAGTATATAAAGCATTAAGTAAAAGATTCTGTTATCTTGCTGTATAGGTCTTATATTTCTATGTTGCCTTACGAATCCCTATGTAGAGTAATTGTAGAAAGTTTGAACAGTTAATAGTGGGGCTCTGATAAATATAACATTAAACTTCATCTCGTGTTGCTGTGTTTTTTTTTAAATGTCCTTACAATTTTCTAACAAAACAACAACTACAGGCGATTCTTTTACATTCATATTTGGAGTAATGTTTGGACTAAAGTCTGTCTCACTCCAGTTCTGACCAACCCTGTGGCACCTGGCCAATTGTTCATTACCTTTGGGGAATCATTGTCAGTTTCAGCTTATGACACAGTTCAGACAAACCTAAGAATATTTACTGGTTAAGGCAATCTTGATTCACCAATATGTTAATAGCAAAGTACTGTATCGTGCTTATTGCATAGTTCAACAGCTATAATGATGCTGCAATAACAGATAGTCACATTTCTGTTACTTTTTACAGAGGAGTCCTGATAAGTACAGTGATGAGTGTCATTTAGTCCTAGGCAGCACTGTAATGGGCACTCTCACAGACAGCTGTTGCAATATAAAAAATAGAATAACGCACACAGTACATGACAAAACAGAACTTAACATATTCAAAGTGTGGTAAAAACGATACAAAAAATATCTATGAGACAGTAGTTGGTTAGTGACGGGGATGAAGTCAGCGAAAGGTGAAAGATAAATAGATGCCCTTTGACCCTTTGCAGGAAGCAGCCGTGCAAGATCAGTCAGAAGTTCACAGTCAAAAATAATAAAGCATTAGTGGCCACAGGAAGATGGAAAAAGTGATTAAACCTCATGAATGACAAATTAGAGGACATATCTCTTGAAAAGCATTTAAAAGCCAAGACCTAACACCTGTCACGCCCGACATCCCTCCCTAGAGGGCGCTCCACTGCTCTCATTATTGTTCGTGTCATTTAGCTCTCCAGGTGTACCCTTTTAGTGTTATTATTTAAAGACCAGCTTCTCCAGTCCTCGGGGCTCATCATTAGGGTAAGATGTCGCGAGGCTCGCCTAGCACCATGAAACCCTACGTCCGTTTCCTGAGGGCATAGGCCTCATCCCCGACACCTCCCGTTTCCTGAGCCCGGGATCTGGAGGATCTCGCCCCGTCACCCTTGGACCTCCATGTTTCGTTTGTCCGTGTGCTCCCCCTTCCCGGGGATTTTAACTTTGTCGCATCCCAGGATGGATTTCTAGTTGATGGACTTTCGGACCGTGCTTTGACCTGCCCTTGGACCCGTTTGGATTTGGATGCCCTTTTGTCTTCCCCGTACACTGTCTCACGGACTGTCACTATTATTTTGTGCACTATTAAACCCCTGTGTGTTCCTTTTTACCACGCCTCCTGTTTTCTCCAGCTCTTACCGCATCGCATAGGGTCTTCTACAAGATCTGACACGGATTCCAGTCCGTATCCGTTACAACACCAATATACCAGACTACAGCACATTAACTAAGGCTCTCACTAGAGCCGTGATCAGTTTCTGAATTTAAACATTTCAAAAACTGTTTTGTTTTGGCTTATTTTAGATTAGAAAGTTAGAAATGCACATGCATCATTCACACAAACCTAGCTTAACTGTACATTTATTTCCTTATTTGCTTTATTTAGGTTCATCTCAATTTCTGAAATGAAACTTGCCCACCTCTGCTCCCCAATCCAATTCTTTATCCTGGATTAAGGCCTTGTATGGATTATATTATCCATCATATACTTTTTCAAGTCTAAAGTGCCTTGGTTGTAAAATGATTTGACTAAACTAGGCAAAGCTTGCATTTGCTGCTACAGAATGATTAACATACACTGAGCTTTGTAAATGCTGAAAATTATAGATTGCAAACAGCACAGAAGGTAGTTCAACATGAGAGAGACAAACACCCATAACTGTAAATCTATCAGGAAAAAAACATATTTCTTTGGAACCCAGTCATTATTTCAGCAGATGTCAAACTATCCTCTCACATATCATATTTCAGCAGAAACTTTGATTCCTCCATGTAGTGTATCAGCCGTTACTCGCACACCTCTCCCAGCACACAAGCTCACATTTGCACATACATATGTTTACATGACCACACTATTTTTTCTTAATTATGAGCTTATTGGGGTACAGCAGTTTCCAGGTGTGTCCATCAAAAAGAAAGGCTATCCTGTAAACACATACATATTACATATCCAGCATGTAAAAAACACAACTAGGATCCACATTTAAAAAACACAGTACTGTGAACGTCTGTCTTTGTCATGAAAAAGTAAGAATGGAAGGACATCCATACTAGTGGAGTTTCATTACCTTTGCCAGCCCTCAGTGTTTTTATCAGTGTGTTTGTAAGCCACCCTTCACTCCGTCTCATAAACTTGTCAACAACAGGCCCTGGTAGAGAGTTCTGCTATTTTTTCCTGCTGAATGCATTGTGGAAAAAACCTCTACTAACTTACAGGCAGATTCCTTCTAGTCAACCAGCCATGGAGTTAATCCTTTTCTGACTCACTGGCTGTTGATAAAACACTTAGCCACACAGACAGTCAGAGAAACAGATAAAACTGTAATCTTCTTAGATAACTACAGTGAATTCATACAATGTTATTATTATGTTTCTATTATTTTATTCTGAAATTTACATAAAAATAATATATTTCAGATTATAATCTTTATTCATGATGTTATACTGTATTGTCAGTGGTTTCAAAATAATATTAACAAGGAGCTCCTTTTTTTTTGTTGCTACACATTCTAGACATCAGACGTTATTTAAGCAAGCCCTAAATATTTATTTGAGCTAACATTAGTCTTAATCATGTGTATCAATATTTTTGATTCACATTGATACGTCAATCATACATATCTAAATTAATAAACTGGATAAAATACACTATTTGAACAAGTCTCTAAAAATTCTATGTAAGCATTTGTAATGCAGTTTAATAATCAAGTGATGCCTGTAGAGCTTTTATGAACAGTTTCAGCCTGCTTCTATTTTTGTAAACCCTATTTCTTCTTCCATGGAAAATTCAGAATACAATTTGACCTGTATATTTATCCCTCGAAGCTCTCTGGCCCTATTTTTTTATTTATAGAAGTTTGCCTGTAACGAAATTAGCTGGTGAACAAATCATGTTCACCCCTGGGATTTTCAAAACCATAAGAATTGATCACCTCAGATGCTTTCCTGTGAGAGGTAAGGGGGAGCTTCAGCTATCCCTAAAATACAGTAGGACTACCTCCTTACTTCCATAAAGTCAACCATTGCTTCAGGAAAAAAATAGTCTGCAATTAATTCAGAAAGAAAAAAAAAATGAATTTTGCATTATTTCTTTCTAAAGTTAAACAGATTTCATGTTCAATATTAACATTTTATAAAACAACCATATTATGTAGAGTTAATTTACTGTACAATTAATGTGCAACTGTTTATACTGTATTGGACTATACTGAATATACAGTAAACACAGGAACATTAGATATTAAAAAGCATTCAAAAATTTTTTTTTCCCATTTTATTATTACTGATTTATCAATTATTAAAGAACATATAAGGTCCAGCATGCTTTGCTGTGTCTGGGGAGTTTTGTCAGAGGACCTGTAAAAACTAAACCAGGTGTCTTGGGCATGCTGGCACTCGAATCCTCAGGAGTCCTCTGGTTAGGGGAGAAGTTGGATTTAATCTAAAATGACAGGCCATGTTGATGCCTGCTCACTGGGGAGTAGGCCCACTCCTCACTTTCCTCCTTCTTAGTGGAATAACTAGGGGTCACCTGGGGTCAACTGCATCACCCCAGCTTGGCTCTGACCTTGGCAGAGCGGCTGCAAGGCACATCTGGAGCATATTTAAGTTTCAGCTGTAACACATACAGCCTGCACTGGAGAGGGTCAGGAATGGTTTTCTCCATGATAAACTACAGTAAGGAGTTTCTGGAAGCTTTTCAGCCACAGGCTCTTAGTTATAACCAAAATGTACAGTCTGGATGTGATTTTGTGGAAGAAGGAGGTTTTACTTAAAGCATTCAATGAAAAAAAATGGCACACACTTGTACGGATGCAAGACATCACAGCTCTTCTTAGTGCAGTCTTGAAGTTTATTGGACGGCCATTCAGAAAGCAAAGCAAACACACTGCTTACTCTGCTCTGAAACACTTCCAAAGGTCAATTAAAAATCGGGCATGGCCCCAGTTAACCTCTGGTATCATTTAAGACAAGGACACAAAGACCATACTGTATGTGATATAGTAATATTTTAAACACCAACACAGAATGTTTATACTGATGTTCAGCTGTTTGGCACACACTCTAAAAAAGAATAAAACAACTATGAGTCACTGTCAGAATAAAACAACAGCCTGCTTTCCTAACATAATAAGTCTAACTGAATTTAAAACTTTTTTCCCCTCGGAAGCATAAACAACGGGTTGCTTAGTTAGACAAGGAGCTAGCTAATCATGACTAAAAAAAGTGTTTTTTTAAGTGTTTTTAATTAATTAATTGCCATATCACAAAAGTATTGTGACTGAATAAACATATTACTATTAAATATTCCATCTAACAATACATAGCTTATTTTTCAAGATGAAAAGTCTTAATCTTTTGTTTGCAAAAGAAAGGCAAACTTAAGTTTTGACTAATATTCCAAGTCTGAGGATGTTAAATATTATCATACACAAAAAATAAATTAATACATATTTGAAAAATAGTAAAAATCATATTCCAAAGTTTTTCTGTACTGTGGAAAAAATCAGAGCTCATTATTTATTTTTGTGGATTCTCTCATTCTGGCATAGTTTAACATCAGATTCATCTAGATTTTTATTGCCTGAGATTGGATGTTGAGCTGAACACTAAAGCTACAGTATATGAATAATGTGAAGCACTCCATTCCATGGAATCCTTAAGACAAAGCTGAAAAAGTCACAAAAAGCATTACCATCTAGTTAACTGTTTCAAGCAGTAGTTTCTTCCACAACTATCACAACTGTACAAAATAAAAACTCTTTAACGTTTTGGTTTAATCACTGTTGATCACTGTGCGGTCTGTTCCATGTCTCCTTGAATTCTTTTAAGCTTAATTAAGAATTAAGAAGTTGCTTCTGAGGAGTTTTCTCTGTACTGAGTTTTACTACACAGAGGAATACTAATTCATTTGAGAGTTGGAAAATCATTTATTGACTAACATTTTTGACAAATATTTACGCAAAATGTGGAAGATCCGTATAAACAGCCCTTCTGGATTGCAGTGTTGTTACATCAACACAAATCACACACAATGCTAATTGGAAAATTAATGGAAATGGGCAGCATAAGTCAAGATTATTCAGTTATTTAGTTGTATTTGTTGTTATTTTTGGGATATATGTGCATGTATGCTTTTAGAGTGCATTATAATAACTGTGGCAAGTTCATTTTCATTTTTTAAAACAGTTTAATCAGAATAAAAAACAAACAGATATCATTAGATTTCATTCTTTAATTAAATTCCTTCATTTATTTCTTTGTTTCTTTCAACTATTCTCTTGCAAATAAACACAGATAATAAATCACATGAAATCAAACTGAAACTGTTCAGTTTCTTAAAGAACTATGCTACGCTCCTTGTTAAAAGGTTTCACTATGAGGAATGCTCTTGCTTTATTTTATGATTTTATTTAAACTGATCATTTATTTTACTCAATTGTGAATAACAAAAGCAACATGTTTCAGACAACTGTTAAAATGAGTTGAAATCTGGTGATGTTTTTTACAAACCCTTGAGAAATAATATTGCTTCCAGTTTGACATGCTGTGTACAGTAAATGTTAATAAATAAAAGTGTTTAACATCCTCAGAACAAGAAGACGAGGCCATCAAAGAATGCGGTGGCTCGATGCCATCAAAACAGAGACTGACTTAGGCATAGAACAGCTGAAAGGGAAAGTCCAAGACCGGAAAGCGTGGCGAGAGATGGCCTATAGAATCACAGAGAGTCGGATCCGACTGACCGGATAACATCATCATCATTAACATCCTCATCAAGAGACTAATGAATGGCACTGTTATGTGGCTTTTCTCTAGTCTAGTGGGATGCTTTTATACTGAATTATTACAAGATGTTCATTTTTGCATTTCTTCCACAAGAGAGGTCAGTCAAATGCAGCATGTACAACTTAAGTACATGTTTTCAACATACAGTATATAAATACCCATATTTAGAACTTAAATCCACATTATTCTGCTTAAAGACTGGAAATAATCAGGAAAAAAAATTAAAACTCAGTCTCATGTAACCAAATATTTTTAGGCTTCTGTCTGAACTTTTAAACTAGACATGTTTTATATGAAATTTTAACTGCTAGACTAATTCTTCATTCATCTTAGAGTATCATCACTATCACTTAATGATTTTTTCCCCAATTCTGAGAATGTCAAAAAGATAACAGCATCCATGAAAGCATTCTGTTAGAAATTGGTAGAGATATTTGTTGTTGTTTTTTGTTGTACTTCAAAGAACACAAAACATTTGATTAATTTTAACCCTTTACCTGGAAAATATACAATTTCTATCTGAAAAACTGAAATTATGGTCAGTGTCAGTACAGCATTGTAAGTTTTGCCAAAATGCATTGTATGTTGTATATATAAGTAAAAAGCTTCAAATAGTCAAATATTTCAGTTTCTGCCAGGTTTGTAGTTTTAGGGCAGATGTATTTACCTCTCCTTGTTTTGTAAATGTACTGTATCAGTTTCTTGCAGATGTGGAAAACTATATTCTAATATGTTTATGAATACTATACCTGACTCCAGGTATAGAACCAAGAGGCACTTGAGCTTCTCTTAGGGCAGAATGAGACGTAAGATGCAGTTTTCTTCCTCTTGGGGACCACACAGGGGTCAAATTCCAGTATGGGTTATTTAAAGCTGCCAATGAAGAATGTTTTTTCTTTGAGAGGAGGTGAGAGAATAACCACACAAACATAAGGAGAATGTGTAAACTCCACAAAGCAAGACACTGAAGCAAGGAATCAAACTCACGCTGCAGTGAGGCGGAGCAGTGACTATGGTGGTAATTCCCTTTGAAATATCCAGTTAAATTTCTAGGCACCTAGAAACACCACTGTGTTTTCTGCTCTTTGTTGCAACCAAGCTTTCCATTATTAAGACAAATCCATTTATTGAACTATTTTCATAACGACAGTTATTTAAACTCAGGACTTGGTTTCATTTATTCCCTCCCAAGATAATTCTGCTTTATTGATTCTTGATGACCTGTAGATGTGTGACCAAACTACAGATTACCAATTAATGATGTTCAGATACAGATGAAATCACATACAAAAAAGCATTACTATAATAATAATAATTGCTTACACTTATATAGCGCTTTTCTGTACACTCCACTCAAAGTACTTT